TCTCTAAAGATGGAGCAAAACACATTCGGATGCGACTTTGCCAGCAGCAACATTTGGAGCGTTTTAAGTTTTTAAGAAGAATTAAAAGTAATCCGTCGATTTATCACAATGGATGAGACTTCGGTCTACCATCATGATCCTGAATCAAAACAGGAGGCTAAGGAGTGTTGTGAACCTGGCTCTTCGGCGCCGAAACGAGTTCGTGTGCAAAAAATCAGCCAAGAATGTGTTAACATCAGTTTTTTGGGATACGAAAGGAATTTTGTTTATACATTACCTTCAAACTGGCAAAACAATCAATTCGGATTATTATTGTAACCTTTTGAATCAGTTAGACAAAAAAATTTGTGAAAGAAGACCCAGATTACAGAAGAAAATCATTTTCCACCAAGATAACGCACCTGCGCACACAGCTCAAAAAAACCATTGCTAAAATAACTGAATTGAAGTACAAATTGTTGCAACATCCAGCCTATTCGCCAGATTTAGCTCCCTCCGACTTCTGGTTCTTCCCACACCTCAAACAATATCTCCGTGGAAAATGATTTTCTTCAAACGAAGAGGTAATAGCTGCCGTGGAGGGATATTTTGCAGAGCTGCCGAAAAACCACTACAGTCAAGGGATCCATAAATTAGAAGACTGTTGGAATAAGTGTATTGAAGTTGAGGGAAATTACGTTGAAAAATTTTCATTTTTATTCATTTAGAAAGTCATTTTTAGAAATAAAAATTGGTTTCTTCATTTCCGTTCCGCGAACTTATTGAACAACCTGGTATGTTTCAGGGAGAGGTAAAACCAAAGAGTTGTACAGGTTAGAGAAGAAAAGACTAATAAGAAGTCAGGTTCTGATAGCAATGTTTTATATCTTTTCAAAACCTGTCACATGAATGGACTTTGAAAACTGAATGGTATTATGGTTTGTAACTTGCTTAATGTTTCATCAATATTCATGAAACAAAAAGCATTTTGTTTCTTACAATGATAGAATTCATTATACGATGTAGTCAGTTACCTTTCTAAACTTAAGATGAGAATGATATAGAAGCGGTTCAGAAAATGTTCACATAAAATACTAAAAATAACAAATACAGGCATTTTACAAATGTGGTTTACCACAACACATGATCCAAAAGGTTCTGAAGGAAACACCAAAATTTTCATCCATTTGAAACATAACTCTCAGAAATTATAAGCGGAAGACTGCAATCACTAGTCGAAGTGAGGATAGACATGCTTACTTAGTATTAAGACTTCCTCAATCTTTACAATTAATATCATGCATACATATGAAGCCATGTTTCATGCTGGAGGTAGGGTTGTTAACTAGCACAATTAGGTGGAATGAATTAGCCAAGTTCTTACAAGTACCCTTGCAGTATCTACAGACGCTTGCCACAAACATCCCGAACTGTTGGATAATGGTGTTGCATAATAATGAGTACAGTGCAGAATCACCCACTGCTTGGCACGTTTTTAAGAATTACACATATTCGGTATCCATGTGCACATAGACCTATTTTCACTTAAAAAGTCAAAGAAAATTGACAAATATCCAGTTCTTACTCGTGTAAAAAGCGCCAAACAAATAAGTGGGCAATTCTGCGCTTTACCCAAATTTTTGCAATGCGTAACAATTCTACTGCAAGAAAAAAAAATGTTTTTGTCCCATTATTAAAACTGACCAAGGATTTTAAATAATATTCAATAGGAAGCTAATTCCTTTCCACCCTGTCCACCCCTATTATTTTGAATAGGTAATATAATATTATTTTGAATAGGTATTTGAATAGGAAAAATTAAGATTAATGAGAAGTATTTTGAGTCATAAATACTTAACCAGTTAACTGTGATTGACGAGTATACTCGTCATGCCTATAATGAAATGGAACAATAAGAGGGAGGTTTATTTAGTAAGTACTGTACATAATGATAACATAATAGAAACAGAGAAAAGAAAAATAATAACAAAGAAACCGGAGATAGTGATTGATTATAATAAAAAAATGCGTGGTTATTATGAGCGATGGAATTATCATAGCGTACTCCACAGCAAGAAAACGATTCAAAAAGTACTACAAAAAGATATTTCACCATTTCTTAGACATTAGGAGTCTGAATACATTCATATTACAAAAAAAAAAAAAAAAAAAAAAAGGAACATTATTGCGTATCAACTTTTTGCTCAAATTTATTGAAACTTTTGTGAAGTATCCAGTTGAAAGAAATAAATTGGCACAAACTCGGCTATTTAGACCTAATATAAGCCAATTAGGTGGGAATAATTTTCCGGATTATATACTCAGATCATCGGGGGAAAAAAAACAACCCTACGTGAAGATGTTCGCATTGCTACAAACGTAAGATCAGGAAGAAATAGCATTACTGGTGTTCGATTTGCAAAGTCCCATTGTGTATAGTAAGTACCCTGTTTCACTGAATATCACTCCACAGCAGGAATTTAAATTCTTACTTTTATGCATAATATTTAATTTATTGCATTTTAAGTTCAATATGTATGTAATATATGCTTTTGTTAACCAAATAAGTAAATATTAGTAATAAAATTTTCAATTTTATAAAATAAACCCATCTTTTTCATCAAATATCTTACCAGCGCAACTTACTCTATGACTGACGAATATACTCGTCATGGCTCTATTCTGGCGACACAAAATGGAGCGCACTGTTAAACAAGAGCACCACAGTTAACTGGTTAAGTAAATGTTCTAATTTTTAAATTCATACAGATAGTAAAAAGTTTTTAATCTTCTAATTTAAAAATCTTTCATAATCAAATTCGTGATGTTCTTTAAACCATGCATTCACATGATCTTCACGTAGGGTTGTTAGGTATATTAGGAATGACAAGTATATTTTTGCAAATTTTACAAAACCATTTTTCCTTTCTTTTAATCTTAAGATGCATATGCCACACCTTAGATACTCATCTAACAGCTGAAGATAACAACCACAATGAGTTAACTTATCAGTCCTTATCATTGGTAGCAATGAAAGCATGCAATTTCTTAGACTTGAACTATAATATTACTTTCTTTTACAGTTAAGTAAATACAATTTGATTTTAAAATGCAGTATGAACAAACTACTAAAACACATTCATATACCTTTATCTGCAAAAACACTCCTACAAGGTTACACATTAACTTTTAATTCTTATAATACACTATCTGGCCAATAAAATCTCCAGAGAAATGGATCTGGCAGGTGACATAATTTGATATATAATCGAAAGCTATAAAAGTGTTGGTAGTGGTTTTCAGGTGATATTTGCGTTTGTGAAACAATGAGTAAGTCAAAAGAGCTTAAGGACTGATTGTGGCAGTATAGTTGGATGTCACCTTTGTGGGAAATCAGTACGTGAAATTTTGGTTGTGGAAAATCAGTGCGTGAAAAATAATACTATACATAATTCTAATTTTAAAAGTTATAGTACTAGTATAAAGCAATTAAGATTGAGAAGTTATTCTTTTATTCATAGCACTGATCAGAAGTAATTTGCATGCCATAAAATGCCTTACACAGTACAATTTATGCCACTCTACAGTTAGTTTTAGATTTCCATCCTGTAACGTACTTAAAATGAAAAAGAACGACCGCAGTAAAATTAACGCCCCTGCATAAAGCCAAATTAAATTTACAAAAATAAAAATTCACTGCATAAAGCCAGATGAAAAAAAAATGAGTAGATTACACTTAAAAAAAGAGCATATTTTTATAATTCAAAAATAGCACCTTTTTTGATAATTTTTTAGCTTCTTCAAAACAGATAAATTAATGTTACTGCACACTGCTTAGCTAATTAATTCATAATTTTTAAAATATATGTCAAATATCAATAATACCATAATACAAACATTACAGCAATATTTAAAATATCACAAACTAGAATAGAATTATACAAAAGTTATTTAGTATGCACTGATGATAGCATTTACATTAATCTAACCCACAAACCATATTTTATCAAATATTAAAGATAAAATATCAAAACAAAACTGGAAGACATTACCTATATTTTATCAAACATTTAAGATAAAAAACAAAATAAATTTTAAAAAGGGTAATTGGATGACATGCAATTTCAAATAGTGCATTTTACTTTACACATGCATTTTTCCGTCAAACTTTCTTATACATCCTTCAAATGTTCTAACAAACAGACACTGAACAATATTGAAATTTTTCTCATTTTTTTAGTCTTATGCAATATCTATCACAGCATGTATTCACTTCCAAACTGATCAGTTTGAATTTAGAAATAATGCTCAGTTCTTTCTTAACAGAATATCAAATTCATAGTTTCTTCGAGAAAAACTACTGCACAAAAATATAACTACATTTACATATGAAACAAACTACAATCTTATCAACACATAGTATTTTATTCTAACAAAACAAAACTACATTTTAAAGATCCTACATAGTTTATAACCGTAGTGGAACGTTCATAGGCAACAGTGCAAACAATATTAAATAACTAAAAATTCATTAGTATTTAAAGGTATTAAAGGATGAAATACTGCATAAATTAAATGAGTCATGCATATTTTCTTTCGGATAATATTTATACGCATGCAAGAATAATAAAAATACGCATGCTTAAATAGTTTAATAACACTATAAACAATTACACTCAATCTTAATTATCTTGATATAAAATGGGTGAAAAAAAATTCGGTACACGTAAGTTATTCTATGTTTATGCCGCATATACGAGTGCGTAACAAGTGAAAAATTAACTTTACATGCGGATGGACAATAGCAGTATACATTGTTAAATAACTATACATAATACATATTAAGCTTCCTTAATTCATGCATATCTACTTTTTAAAGAAATAAAAGTTTAATTCAGATCACGTAAGCTATCTGCAAGGTTCCCAGCAATATTAAGCCTAACGTCACAGTTTTTTACACGTTGATAGTAAACAAATGTTTTATTCCGTTCTTTAATATAATAAAAAAATAAATGCCTTACCTTTAATAGCCAGATAATATGTAGTTAACCATTATTGTTATCTTTCCAACGTTTCACTAACAATTGTCAAGGAAACTCCACAGCCCACTACGAATGAATCACACGAATTGCCCTAGTATGAGACTGCGATTTCAGCAAAGTGCACTCAAACTCGCCAAATGTACTCGAAAATCAGCAAAACAATCGCCAATCCAGTGCCAACACAGGATGATGTCCGAATCCGACTTAAATCTTCTTCGACGAAGTCTTGATTATTTTCGTATTTTGTTTCGACTACGTGACAAAGAATTTTTTGAAGCTTCTGCCACGTTAATAAGTGCAGTAACCTCAAATTATTCCCCATTTCCTATTTGAATATGAAAAAGAAACTAAAAAGTAAAAAAAAAAAAAAAAAAAATAAATCTGAAAGTTTATATTACCGAAAGGTGCGCTTTTTTACATTTGCAGACGTGGCCAATGCCATTATAGGAAAGTGCCCACCTTTGGAGGGGGGGGGGAATTACAGACACATACACATTTCGAGAACATTTGGCCTAACCAGTACCTCCTATAAACCGTATATAGGAGGTACTGGCCTAACGCCACATTGTGCTAAAAATATTTAAAAACAGCATATCTTGATAATTTCCGATAGACAGTCTCGTGCGCTGGACATAAAAATGTTTTCTTGTCTACAGTGTTGCCACTCACTTTGAAATTGTTGAGTTTAAAATTCCTTAAAGTTTTACAAGATATGAAACAGACAATAAAACAAATTCGAAATTCTTAATTCGGGCTTCCAGTTGCCCATTCTCGGGAGGAGGAGTATGTTATTCGGAAGTTGGTCATTCTAGGTACCGTTGTTTTTTCACAGTGTGAGAAACATACATACACTCATGTAGATTCTTCATTATTTGGTTTCATTATATACAGGCATTACATACAGGGCGATAATGTTTGGTGGCAACCATCTGAAAAGTGATTCGACGCAAATTCCGTTTCGAGAATAATAGCTTTTATGAACTAACACTTTTACGGACTTCGTGCTAATAAATTTGGAAAAAAAAAACTTCAAATTGATATAGATTTATTAATTAATGGATTTATCATTAATATTTATTTATTAAATGATTTAATACTGCGGCTCTCTGCCAAAGGGAAAGGATACCTTCATGGAGGATTTATTAAGGACTGTCTCTTACTCACATTACGCATGGAGTAAAATTACGTGAACACTCATGTAGCCCACATTTTCGCTTGGATCTGAATACGTTCGGCAGAGGCCGAGCGGTAAAGTCATTGAACACTGGTAGTTTGGTCCGGTTCGAATCTCGGCGAATGGGCTGGCTGAATAGGCGTTTTCGTAGTTCCCCCCCCCTCGTGTAATGTGTATACGAGCCAGTTTTCCTTATAAAGTCTTTCACGAAGGCATTCCTCCTTTTAGGTATAGCCTTCGAATGCTTTGCAGTAATTAAATAAATCAAACCAAAACAAACCTGAATCCGTGTCGAATTCCAACGTTCAGTGGTCTTATTCGCTTGGCCTCTGCTGAAACTATTGGTAGCAGTAAATATCATTTTTAATATGAATATATAAAATATCATTTTAATCATATATTCAAAATTCCCTTTTTAATTAAACAATATAGTAATCCATCTCACTGTGTATTTTTCTTATCTATAAATTAAATATCCTCATCTTCGTTTTAAAAGTAATATCATGCACTTTCTTTTGTTAGTAGAAAGGACAAAAAGATTATTCCATTAACTTATGTGATATTTATTCATTGATAGAGCGGAATTAAATTATTCGATTATGGCAGAACAAATGAGGGAACACCTGAGCTAAGTCACAATTTTAATTCAGAACAGCCTGTAGGAGTAATTCAGATGTCCTCATAACATTTTTTTCCTACAACCAAGCTGTCAAAATTACTTACGACTGACGAATTTTAAGAGCCCCACATTCAGTAAAAACGCTAGGATCGTATGTATCCATTTCTTCTCCCCCAGAATCTAATCTCTGCTCTACGGTGTCAGCTACCCAGAACAAAGCTACTCTAAAAAAAGAAAAAAAGGAAAAAAAAAAAGCTTCAAAACGACATTTATCACAACGAAGCGACTTAATTTAATTTCTACTATTAAATAATGAAGAATGTGTCTGTCTGTATGTTCCTCACACTTTAGGAAAGCGAAGGAACCTACAGCCACTTTAAAAACTTTTGAACACACGATTTTGGGTTGATTCACTTTAAATGCCGTTCACTGTAAATGCGTTGTTTCATTTTTCCAAATGTAAAATGTTTATCTTTCTAATTTATTCTGCTTGTTATGGATTAATAAACTAAGCTGTTTAAAAGCAATAGATATAGTTCTTAGAATATTAGTTTTCTACTTTTTAATCGGATTGATTGAAATAAAAATGCATTTAATTCATGATATATCTAATTAGAATAATAAAATATTTTTATAGAATGGCGTTATATATTTTTCCACTTTTCAAATATACAAAAGATATGTCGTTCCCCTGTTAGTCTTAAATGTTTATTCATTTAGTATCCTATAAAAGGTTTCGTATTCCACATGAGCCATCTGTACTGATAATCTGTATCGATAAACCTTATTAAACTTCAAAAGATACCTTTTGGGTTACATTGAAATCAACCATTTGAGGAAAACTGTTAAAATGATGATAAAACTGTGATTATGGATGAAAAATATTGGAAGCTACTGAGATTAGACTTTACAGTTGAGGATTACGTAAACTATGATGCTAGTGTAATGACGTCAGACTTATGTACAGTTGAAGAACTGATTGAAAACATTTTTCCAGATGAATATTTAAGTAGCAGGAATGAAGAAGGAAATAAAGGAATGATTCCACCTTCTTTTAAAAATGCTATCTACTGCATTAATACCTTCAAAAATTTCTTTGTGTGAATACAAGGGAGAAAAACATTTCAAGAACTTAATTGGATTGATAGCGCTTTGTTTGAGATTCAAAGTCAAAAGACACGTCAGACGAGACGTTTTCTTTAAAAAAGTCTAATTTTGCTCAAAAATGTTTTAGAAAGAAATGTTACTTATTCAAGATGGAAATTCCAATAAAGGTATGAACTTTTTTTTTTTTTTTTTTTTTTTTTCCGAATTTCTCGTAATTGCATTCTTATGATTTTAAAAATATTAAATTTGTATTAATGTCATTTTAAAAATATTAATTATAAAAATGCTGAAATTGTTTAATTGTTTAAAATGTATTAATAATAGTTATACATTTATTTAATATTAATTAAATATTTATTTAAAGCATTAAATTTAAATTTGATTGAGCGTATAAGGTATTTCTCCCGCCTTCCTAGCGTACCTTCGTGGTGTAGTGGTTCTGCACGCTGGGCCGGTATTTCCAGAGGTCCGTGGTTCAATTCCCGGCGAAGGCGTTGCTAATTTTTCATCTCTCCGGCTTCCAAAATCCTAATGTCTCTACAAGCAAGAAAAGATTGAAGATGGTCAAAAGGAAATAAGAAGAGAAGTTAATTGCATAATAGAAAACAAATTCGAGGCTATGGCATGCAGAAGAGACACTGTTGAAAATAGAATTGGAGAAATTCAAGAAAGAGTTGCTTCTGTCAAGGAACAAATCGAAGAGAGAGTTTCTGCCGTTGCTAAAAAAAAATTGACACCTTAAAGAAATGCATAGCGACGAACGAGAGGAAGCAATTCTAATGATTTTACATTTTTTTCCATGCCTTGTCGTCCCTCTCTAAAGCTATCCACATATGATGGTAAGACCTCCTGGCATATGTATAAGACACAATTTTCTATAGTGGTGTATGCAGATGGATGGATTCAAGCTAAGGCCCGTCATCTCGCCACATCCCTAAGAGCAGGTGCAGCAGATATCCTTCAAATTCTTCCTGAAAACCAGAGGCTAGACCTTTGAAGCTCTATCCGGAGCGTTGGAGTTGCGCTTTGGGGAGAAGTGTGTAAAAGACTATATCAGGCTTCAATTAAAAGCCCGTCAAGAGAAGTCCACGGAAACTCTCCAAGAATTTGTCACGCATGTTGAAAGGTTGTCTCATCTCGCCTTTTCGGAGTGCCTCACAGAAGAAGGAAATCCAGTCCTTGCAGTACTTCTTTTGTCGATGGCATCCGGGGTCCTGAGATACAGAAAGCCATGCGAATGGTGGATGTGAAGTGCCTTGCCACTCGCACATGAGAGTCCGCAACCCAGACGGCGGACTTAAAAATGAAGTCTCTCTTACACCCAACGCTAAATCAGTTTGTCAGCTTCAACACTCTACCAGAGGCACGGTGAGCATGAAGGGTGTTGCGGTTAGAAAATGAACCGAGAAGTTCACAATAGATGGAGTAAGAATGGCAAAGATGAACTCAAGGAAATGTCAACAATGTGAAATCATTACTTATCATGGCCGCCATACGGCGTACGGATATGACTGAGAAAGATATTGCTGAATAAATTTACACTGCGAGAGCGAATATCAACGTCCTTAGGTTCAGGAAAGCGTTTTAATAATTTGCATAAAATACCCCTGAAACACTCACAGATCTTTTGGGTTTCGCCATGTATACATTTGTCTTAAGATGAATTTTCATTACACATTTTCATGTCTGTAGATTGCAAAAGTCCCTAAATTACCTAAATTATAGGATTTGATTTACCTGGCAAGACAACTTTATTAATCGTATAGCTGGTTAAAATTTTTAGGTAATAAATTATACTTGAGTAATACCATGAACTGAGGAATATTTCTACTAGATGACACTTCGGCATCGGTAGCTTTAATAGCTAATCCTCCCCAATTTCATCATCATCGCGTTAAGATCACGGTGGACTACCTACTGTGTGTCTACGCTCTTATAAATATACTTCCAACGGGGTTTTTAAAATACGGTACAGAATTTAACAAAGTTTCAATGTTCAAAATTTTAGTAATATTTCGATATTAATTAATGCAATATTAATTAATTTCAATAGTATTGGGAACAGCTTCAGTTATAAGGTATTTTCTCTTGCCTTCCAGCATCCTCTTGTGGTGTAGCAGTAGCAAACTCAGGGCGTAGTCGAGAGGTCCAGGATCGAGTCCCGAAGAGGGCATTGCACAATTTTTACATCTCCAGCTTCAAAATAACCTAATGAT